GCAATCGGGGAGAAGAGGACAGGAGGACAGGAGTGTTGGCTCCCTTAGGGGTAGCTGGCTATGAGCTAACTGAAGGGGCAATGGGCATGGTTGGGCTGGGCAGACCCTGACCCCTTAGCATCAGTAAGCCCAGCAGGCAGGCAAGAGGACAAGTGGATAAGTCAGAACCCTTTACAGGGCCCTGGACTCTCTACCAAGTAAGGCTTTACTGCTACCCCAGACCTTCAACTAGGAGTAGAGGAGCAGGTGACCATGATGGGTTAGGCACTAACCAGATTCAGGCACTTAGGTCCTAGACAGGGAGGCACAGGGTACGTGGTGATTTCTAGTAGCCATCCATAATTCTTCATTTTTTTTTTTTTTGACAGGCAGAGTGGACAGTGAGAGAGAGAGACAGAGAGAAAAGTCTTCCTTTGCCGTTGGTTCACCCTCCAATGGCCACTGCGGCTGGCGTGCTGCGGCTGGTGCACAGCACTGATCCGATGGCAGGAGCCAGGTACTTCTCCTGGTCTCCCATGGGGTGCAGGGCCCAAGTACTTGGGCCATCCTCCACTGCACTCCCTGGCCACAGCAGAGAGCTGGCCTGGAAGAGGGGCAACCGGGACAGAATCTGGCGCCCCAACCGGGACTAGAACCCAGTGTGCCGGCGCCACAAGGCGGAGGATTAGCCTAGTGAGCCGCGGCGCTGGCAATAATTCTTCATTCTTACACTCAAAAAGCATTTACTATTTCCTAGGGATAAGATACCGTACTAGGGGCCGGCACTGTGGTGTAGCAGGTAAAGCTGCAGCCTGCAGTGCCAGCTTGGGTGTTGGTTTGAGCCCCGGCTGCTCCACTTCTGATCCAGCTCTGCTGCGGCCTGGGAAAGCAGTGGAAGATGGTCCAAGTCCTTGGGCCCCTGCACCCTCATGGGAGACCTGGAAGAAGCTCCTGGCTCCTGGATTCAGCCTGGCCCAGTCCTGGCTGTTGCAGCCACTTGGGGAGAGAGGCCGTGGATGGAAGATTCTCTCTCTCTCTCTCTGTCTGCCTCTTCCTCTCTCTCTTTCTCTCTGTAACTTTGCCTTTCAAGTAAATAAATAAATCTTAAAACAAGATTCTGTGATAGATAGAGACCCAACCAAGTTCCTTAAGGAATTTACAATCCAAGGGTTAAGGATTGGGGAGCAATTGGAGGATCTCAGGGCAACAGCAGGAAGCAAATGTGGGGGTTTCCTTCTCCTCAGTGTGTGTGGGAGGGTGAGGGAGGGAGAGAGAGACAGAGTGAGAGAGTGAGAGAGAGAGAGAGAGAGAGATTGATTTACTCTTCTGGCCACAGAGCAATTCATCTTACCTGCTCCAACATGCACACATGCCTCCCAAATTGTAGGCTCCCTAAAAATGACCAACAGCCTTCCTATCAAAGGAACCTTTTCTAACCCTTTTCTACCTCTCAGGAGCCAAGGGATGGTGAATGGCCCCAGTCAGGGCGTACACACACGCACCAAGTGGCCACACTCTGGGTGGAGCATACACAAGTTAGCTTTGGGTTTTGAAAAGATGCATACTGGTCAGGCCAGTTAAAAATCAACCAAACAGCCTATAAAGTCAACCGCGGTTTGATTTGGATTTAGGCCACCCTTAAGGGGCCATATACGTGCACCTCGCTTTAAGGAGACCTGTACCCAAAACTCCCGATTTTGAAAGACAGGGAGGAATGCGCCTGACCATTTTTGGAAGCCATCTCGAGCCCTCGTTTGTTGACACAGGTGTATCAAAGAGGTGGCGCAGCCCTTGAAGGAGCATCTGATTGAACGCTCTGCCTTCTGATGGTAACACCCTGAAATCATCTCAGGCCAACGGCCCTTTGTCCACTGTGGGCACACCTCCAGAAACTCCTAATGGGTTCAAAATGTGGCCGTGGCTGCTGTGGACCTGCGAGCTCTGCCCAGACACAAACCTGCCTTGTCTTTTCAAATGACAAGGTGCTCTGGGGCTTTGTGGCAAAGGGTGTCGTTTTCTAAAGACTCAAACTCAAATAAATCGTTACATTAAAAATAAACTGAATTGGGGAGTGCGCTTGGGAATTTTCTGACATTTTGTGGACATGATGAAATGCATCCCTTGGTTCAACTTTGAAATTAAACGAGCTCAGCTTTTCTGCACGAAAGGGAAGGAGTTCCCATGACTTGCTCTTTGCAGTTTCCCCTCAAGTATGGCTTTCAGTATTTATTTAGAAATATTTCTATTCGGTCATGGCATGGTTTAGCCCCGTTCTGGGTAGCCTTAGTACGGTTTGATTTCACACGGGGCTGCTTACCTTTTAGGAACCAAATTTGTGACCCAATGAAAATTTCTCTCTTACAAGGAGCTTGGATTCTTACTGATTTCACAACCTTCATGTGTGTGTCAGATGAACCATGACATTTAAACTATGCTTGATAGCTTAACAGATTATAAGAACAAAACCAGATGGCCCAAACAAAAATAATGCTTTGATTGCTTTCAAATTCAATGTCAAAAATTAAAAACAGCTTTCAAAAAGCCTTGACTTCTTTTTTTCTAAAATGACTTTGAATTGTATATATACAATACATATACTCTCCCCCCCCAACATTAGAAATGTCTGATTCAAAAATGTAAGAGCAGTTTTGTGGGGGGTGGGGGTGTGAGAGGTTTTCTTCCTTTTTTCTTTTCTATATCTCCCAATTTTTCTGCAGTTACTTTTAGCATCCGAAACGGAATGCTTAATGACTGCTTTTTAGTTTAATTTTTATGAAGCCGTGTCTTAGGCTCAGTCAAGGTGTTTCCCTCTGTTGAGAAAATGGCCATTGTTAAGCATTAGCAGTTCATAATTCTTCTTCCAGGCAAAAGGGTGAATAATGTGTGGTTAACTGTAATGCTGTGCTTCGTGGGGTTGCAAAACTGAACTGGTCCCAGAGTCTGTAGAATTCATGTAAATCCTACAAAAGCGGTTATTTCATTTTTCAACTCACTTTCATGTATCTTCAACATCGTTAGTATTACTCACAAGCCTCGCTTTCTTTGAGAGCAGTGAAGCAACTAATTCTTTAAAACGGGCTTTGACAAAGAACCTTGATGTCAAAAGGCTCGCCAACCTTGAGACAGTTAGCAGAGAGAAGTCAGAGTGTTATGACTTGAGTTTCCAAAGGAAACAGCTCACAAAAGTGTTAGGATTCTCTTTCCCGTTCTGGTTGTGTAAAAGAATCGCTGTTCCGACTCAGATCCATTCTCCTTCAAATCCGCTGCAAGAGAACGAACAAACTACGCTGCAAATCAAAGCCCTGACAGTTATATTTCCCTGAGATAATTGCAGGCTGCTTCAGAGTTTCCTTTTCCCCTCTGTTTCCTTTTGTTTTGACAACAAGATTCTGGGAAAACAATATACAAATGATAACTGCGCTGTCACGAGCATACTGAATTTTCAAAATAAATAACGGTCGACCCAAAAAGCTTCCTGGAACCTATGGAGTGAGTGCTTTTTCCAAACCGTTCCCAAACCAGATGTGGAAATGTTTAGCTAATTCCCCTCCCCACGCTCCATGCGAAGAGTTCATACGTGTCTCTAACGACATCCGAGGGGATGGCGAGGCAAAAGCCTGGCTGCTTTCAAGAGATTTGTCTTACGCTTCTCACGCCGCTCACTCACATCACCAAACTCATTCGGACTTCAGCCTTTGTCTCCTTTACCGAGGACCCCCAAGATTCAAAATGCTCTGTGTGTAAACCAATCCTGAATCTCTCATACGCCGTTTTTTAAGATGGATTTTTGTGGTGAGAGTATTTAAAATCTACTTTGAGTAAATTTGAAATATACCTTAGCATCAACCATAGTCGACGGGGGGTGCTAGAAATAGAGTGCTAGAACGTACTGTCCTGGACTAACCGAAACTTTGTGCCTTTTGCCTAAGGCCTCCCCTTCCCCCGCTCACCCCCACCAGTCTCTGGCAATCACCAGTTCACCTTCTACTTCTGGAAGGATGTGAGGTGTGGATGCTAATTAGCTCGATCTCGCCATCCCACAATGCATGCATAAATCACAGTATCATAGTATAGCCCATAAACATAACTGGCCCGCTCTAGCCATGGGTTCCCCATCTCCGGATTCAACCAGCCAAAGGTTGAAAATAGTCCAAAAAAATTGCATTTGTCCTGAACATGTTACAGGCATTTTTGGGGTCATTATTCTCTAAATAACACAGCATAAAACTGTTTGCATAGCATTTATTCTGTATTAGGTATTATAAGGAATTGGGAGATGATTTAAATATATGGGAGAATGTGGGTAGGTTCCATGCAAATACTACACCCACTGTTTCACATAAGGGACTTGAGCATCTGCAGATTTTGGAATCTGTGAGGGGCCCTGGAACCCGTTCTCTGCAGATACTGCACGACAACTGTATATACAATTATGCTTTGTCCGCTTAAAAAAAGACCAGCAGCTGAACTTTATAAGCAGCATTTGCAGCGAAAAAAAAAAAAGTTAAAGATGGAGGTTAAGTGGAAGCTCCTCTTTTCTCTTTCCTGTCTGTTTGTGTGTTTGCTCAATCTATTCCATTCCTGTATATATCAAGAAAAGTGGGCTGTCTTGGATCTCAGTCTTGCCTTGCTAATCTAATTTAATCCTTCTCAGTGACTGATGTAGGTATCTCTTAAACGTAAACACTTTGGATTCTTCTGAACTTAATTAAAAGAATAGCTTTGATTCTGGGGAGGGGGACAAAAAGAAGAAATAGAGTTCTTATGTCCCAAACCAAAAGTTCGATGATGTTTTTAAATGTAAAGAGTTTATTAAGAATTAGGTTTATTAGGGAGTTCTTGCAAAAAAAAAAAAAAAGGAGGAGGAAGGAGGAAACTCCATTAAAGGAGCTAATGGGAAATGTATATGCATAAACCACATTGAGAAAAACAGAAAGCTACTTGTGCTCTGTAGCTGCAAGGAAAGCAAACATTTTGCATGCAGGTGTTATTAGCAGCAGGGGGTTTGCCCGCTGCCCGCCCTGTCTCTAGAGCTGGGTTCAGCACAGTATGTACCAATAGCTGAGTCCTGCTTGCTTATACAAATGTATCTAAAGGCGCTGTTCCTGGAACATCACAGGGTTAATTTCCCATCCAGTCTAAGTGGGGCTTGTGGTAATGCAAACCCCGAGACCTGCTTTCTAACCGCCCAGGAGCCTCAGCAAGAAGCTGGACAATAGTCCCAAAGGTGAGCACTCCTTTCGATGCATTTCTTTTCTTTCCCAGTCCTCAACCCCCTCCCCAACTCGGAAGATTTCTGGAGACTTTAAATAGAATTCTGTCCACAGCTCCTATGCTGTACACAGCCCCAACCACGGCTAAAAATACCTTCAGCTTGGCACCCTGTCTTCTGGCAGCCCCTTCCCATCTCTAGCCTCTTGGCTTTCTTTTCCTCTGTCCCTAGTAACTAGAGCCCACCTTCTCCTTCGCTTGCCTATCCAGGATCCCATTCGGCCAGCACGTTTCAGCTGGGTGTAAGAAAAGCCAGCTGATGTGAAATCACAGTGTGTTGTGAATTAATTATAACCATCCCCCTACACACACACACACACACACACACACACACCTCTCCCCTCTCCTTCCTTGGGAATGGCAGGCAGCAGAGGGAAGGGAGACTGTCCCATTTTGGTGATCTGTGTTTAACAACAGGGAGCAAGCTCCCGAAGTGTGGCATGAAGCTAGACGGGCACAAACTCCTGTACAGGAGCGTGCCACTCCCTTCCTCATCGTCTGCCTCTCACTGTAGACGCACAGCCTGAAATAGGGGTCCCACGGACTGATTTTTCTTTTTAGGCTTTATCTGAGCTCAAAGGTATGCTGTCACACGCAAGGACAGCTGCATTTACTGCTCTCCTCACAAAGTAATCCGTTCCCGGCTTGAAGAGAATCAGAGGGAAACACATTCTGTCCTGTCCAAGTCTGGGGTTTTATCCTAAATGAACTCCCAAACCCAGTCATATTGCTGACCCCTCTTCCTTTGAGATGGATTCCGTGCCGTGTAATTTAAGATGTGGTTATGGGGGCTGAGGTAACCTAAAATGGCTTCTTGCTGGGCATGGAGGGTTGGAGGTGGGGAGCAACTGTCTTGCTTCTGGAAGAATCTAGGCTGTTTGTAACTCTATTTCGATTATCCGCAAGAGGGAGGGGAGAGAGGGAAGAGAACACTCAAGTATTTGAGGGAGGGAGAGAAGATGGGACATTTAACTGCCTGGGCAAGAACAGCCTTCAAACTAAGCCTTCGGGTCTTAGTTTTGGGTTTAAACAACACAAATGGAGTGAACGCATTGCTTCCTTGGACTGTCTCAGAAACTACTTAAAGAGGAAGTTTTTGTTCAGGGTGCATTAGGCCAAACTGTGAGATAAATGTTAAGGAAAGAAGGAGAGAGGCAGAGGAAAGAGGAGCGGCGTGGGGGAAGGGGCAGAAAATGTGTTTGCAACAAGGTGTTCTTTAAACTGAGACAGTAGTGCACGAGGTGCCGGCGGCCGTTAGCTCACTGTGCAGAAAGAAAATAGCGAGCAGCCTTCTGCAACAAGTGGAGGTTTGCTTACCTGTTTAATCACCCAGGAAGAGTTTGCATGGCGATTTACTTCTTTTCCTCGTTGTTGTTTGATTTTGTTTGAGGTTTTGGTGGAGGAGGTGGGCAACAGGATAGGTTTTGTTTGTTGGTTTCTTGCTGATGCTTCTAAATGTGCTATGTGAAAAACAAGAAGGTAGTCCCAAGAGAGACATTGCAGAGTGAACAAGGAGTAGAGGCATAGGGCCAGCAGATCCTTTAGGCTTCTACACCCCAGCATCCCTGCCAAGGAAGCAAAGCGTGAGAGCCACAGAGACCATCTGTGCCACCCAGAAGCAACGCACTTCATCCAGGCGGGCACACCTTTCTCTAGAGGACCACTGTGCCTTGGTTCCCATCAAAGAATGCAGCTAATTCATCACTATCGAAGACACAGAAAGAACTCTATTTCTGCAACTTTAGAAAGGGGGAAGGGGTGTCATGGGATGCATTTTTGGCTCAGTGTTATGCATATAGAAAACTCAAAAATACTAGCCAAAGAATGAACTCATGTATGCAGGGGTTACATATCTCAGTAGGGAACAAAAGTGAATCTCTACACTTGCGCAAGTTCATTCCCTTCCAAATTTTAGACACTTTGCTCTTTTACTCATATCTTTCTCACTTTTAAAATGAAAGCTGAGCTGAACATTTGATGATTTTCTTCCTTCCTTCCTTTTATGTTTCCCTCCCTCTTTCTGCGTTTGTCAGAGTACCTGGGTTCAAGTCCAAGCTCCAGCTCTAGATTCCAGCTTGCTGCTAATGCAGACCCTGAGAGATAGCTGAGGATGGCTTTTGATATTCTGTTTGAGACACCTATTCTTGGCATGGCATTTTTCTTTCCACTGCTCCGTTTTGCCCCTTACAGTGGCAAAACGGAGCAGTGGAAAGAAAAATTCAGTGAAAAGGTTGAGGGTCAGTATTGGGGCACAGCTGTAGCTTGCAACGCTGGCAGCCCACGTCGTTACTTGTTAAGTCTGGTTTCTCTACTTCCTATCCAACTCCCTGCTAATGCAGCTGGAAAGGCAGTGGAAGATGGCTTATACTTGGGTCCATGTTACCCAGGTGGGAAACCCAGCTGGAGTTTCAGGCTCCTGACTTTGGGCCTGCCTCAGACCTGGCTATTTGTAGACATTTGGGGAGTGAACCAGCAGGTGGAAGACACTCTGTCCCCCAACCCTGTCACTCTGCCTTTCAAATCAATACATAAATCTTTACCAAAGACAGAAGCAATAGAGTCGTTCATTAAGATGATCTGTGAGAAGATTGTAGCCCTTAAAGCGGGAAGTGTTGCCAGGCTGAATTAAACCATATCTCCTGGGGCAGGCCTTTGGCTCAGCCATTAAGATGCCATTTGGGACACTCACATCCCATATCAGAGTGCCTGAGTTCGAATCCTGGCTCCACTTCTGATTGCTGCTAATGCAGGAATGCACATCTTGGTGGGCAGCAAGTACCTGGGTCTCTGCCGTCCACACAGGAGACCCAGATGGAGTTTTTGGCTTCTGGCTTTGGCCTGTGCCAGCCTTGGCTATTAGGAGAGTTTGAGGAATGAATGAGTGGACGGAAGATCTTTCTCTGTGTGTCTGCCTTTATCTCTACCTATCTCTGTGCCTTTCAAAGAAATAAAAATAAATTTTAAAAATTAAATAAACTGTCTCCCATTTCATGTTGGGGTTACACACAGAGGTGCACCACTCCTGATCCCTATAAACTCTAATCATTTTGCATGTGAGGGATATGTGTTTTATATCAAAACAGCATGGTAAAGTGGCTTTAAGAAGCCATTTCTGTTGTCTGTAAACGCAAGAGTTCCAACAATGAGATTAAAATTCAGTTCCCTCTCATAAGAATGTTTTCCTCTTTTTAATACTTTAAGATTAGCCTTTCGCTTAAAAAAGGGTGGGATCATGTTTGAACTTTCAATAGGAATTAAGATGACTTGTCTCTTGTGTCTTTGTGTGCTCTAGAAATCCTCACTGGACACCTTCCTGTTTCCTGTGGGTTGTTAACTTGATCGGCTGCAGAGATGAATGTTGTCCAGTTGGTAGCAGGAACAGTCTTCCTGACCTCTGTGTTTTCAGCCTGTTCCGGACAAAATCCAATGACTGTGCTGTGCTCCATAGACTGGTTCATGGTCACGGTTCAACCCTTCATGTTGAACAACGATGTGTACGTACACTTCTATGAGTTACACCTGGGCCTGGGTTGCCCTGCCAACCACGTTCAGCCACACGCCTACCAGTTCACCTACCGTGTTACTGAATGTGGCATCAAGGCCAAGGCCATCTCCCAAGACATGGTTATCTACAGCACTGAGATGCACTACGCTTCTGTGGGCACATCCTCTCGGTATGCGATCCCAGTGTCGTGTATTGCTCCTCAGAAATCACCCTGGTTCACTGTGCCTGCCTCCATGACAGTGGCCGGGGAAGGAGGAGCCACGGCCTCCACCGATGACACAGGCCACAAGGTGTTCACCTTGGCACAGTCTGACTCTGACGAAGTGACTGACCATGCTTGTCTACCTTGTGTCGTCACTGAACAAGAGCGCCCCCCAGCTCCGTATCACGAAATAGAGATTGAGGAGGATCCTCCTGCGCAGTCCTCTCCCTTTGTCGATATTTCTGAGGATGTTTCTGCTTACTTGACTTGATCCCTATCTTTGCGCGCGGGGGTGGGGGAGGGGCTCATGAAAATGTTGTTTCTAGAATTCTATGTAGTATTTACTCATGTCAGATGAATAAGTGCCCTTGTGGCTCTCTTATGACCACTTTGGAGAACGGTCGACCCATCACAATGTCAAGAATAAAAGGGGTTTTTTTTTTATATGTTTAATAAAGTTTTTGAAAAGAAAATAAAAATTCTAATGGCATTAAAAATAGCAGTTGGACATTTTTATTTAATAACATATATGGTTTTACTCTGGTCCAGGCATTGTTCTAAGTGCTTTGCAAACTTTAGTATCTGGTCTTCCTTCTCTAGGATATTTCTCTCTCCTTTAAGGCCCTCGAAGAAAGCCTTCCCCAGTAGAATTGCTCCGCCTGTAGCCCCATTTCACTTAACGCTCTAAACTACTAAGGAGCCAGATGTATGCCTTCTTAGTTTGATCCACGTCTGTCACTTTTCATGCACGGAAAACATAGGCCACGCTAAGGATTTATAAATTGTCAATGGTTCTAAGAATTGTTTAAATTGCATTCCACATCTTACCAGCTTTTAAATAGTAAGTTCCTGAGGCCAACAGCTGAATCTCAGACTTTATTTTTTTTTAAGATTTATGTATTTATTTGAAAGGCAGAGCTACAGAGAGGCAGAGGCAGAGAGAGAGAGAGAGAGAGAGAGAGAGAGAGGTCTTTCATCGGCTGGTTCACTCCCCAGATGGCCGCAGTGGCTGGAACTGCGCTGATCTGAAGCCAGGAGCCAAGAGCTTCTTTCGGGTCTCCCACACGGGTACAGGGGCCCAAGAAATTGGGCCATCTTCCACGGCTTTTCCAGGCCATAGCAGAGAGCTGGATCGGAAGTGGAGCAGCCAGGACTTGAACTGGTGCCCATATGGGATGCCGAAACTGTAGGCGGTGGCTTTACCCATTATGCCACAGCGCCGGCCCCTGAATCTCAGACTTTAGTCACAGATAGATAATAATTGGAAAGGAATCTCCCAAACATACAGAACACTTCAAAAAGTTCAAGAAAAGGTCAAATTAAAAGTATGATTAGGGGTCGGCACTGTGGTGTAGTAGGTTAAGCCTCCACCTACAGCGCCAGCATCCCATATGAGTGCTGGTTCAAGTCCTGGCTGCTCCACTTCCAATCCAGCTCCCTGCTAATGGTCTGGGAAAGCAGTGGAAGATGGCCCAAGTGCCATCATACTTTTTTACAAAAAGATTTATGTATTTATTTGAAAGCAGAGGGAGAGACAGAGATTTTCTATCTGCTGGTTCACTCCCCAAATGCCCGCCACAGGCAGAGCTGGCCTGATCCGAAGCCATGGAGCCAGAGGCTTTTTCCAGGTCTCCCACATAGGTGCAGGGGCCCTGGACTGGGCCATCTTCTAACTTCTGTCTCAGGCTATTAACAGGGAGCTGGATCAGAAGAGGAGCAGTCGGGACTTGAACTGGTATCCATAGCACTAGCCCTAAGTTTAAAATTCTTAAGAATGATATACTACTATACTTCTAGTGGTCTGTGACTACTTTTTTTTTTTAAGATTTACTTATATATTTGAAAGGCAGAGTTACAGAGATAGAAGGAGAGACAGAGAAACAGAGAGACAAAGAGAGAAAGGTCTTCCATCTGCTGATTCTCTCTCCAAATGGCTGCAATGGCCAGGGCTGGGCCAGGCCGAAGCCGGGGGTCAGGAGTTTCTCTCAGGTCTCCCACATAGATGCAGGGGCCCAAGCACTAGGGCCATCCTCCGATGCTTTCCCAGGTGCATTTAGCAGGGAGCTGGATGGGAAGTGGAGCAGCCAGGAATTCAACTGGCGCCCATATTAGGTGCCGGTGCTGCAGGCCATGGCTTAACCCACTGTGCCACAGCGCAGGCCCCAGTCTGTGAATATTTTAATATTTACATGAGTGAGATGGACATCTCTTCATTTGCTTATTGTTTATAGTCGTGCCTATATTTCTGTTGAACTATTGACTTTTTTCTGTTGAACTCTTTATTTAGTTGAGCATTAAGCCTTTAATGACAATGTAAATTAAAAATATGCTATTTTTAAAAACCTTTAAAAATAGAAGATATGAGTTTACTTTGGTGCAAAAATCTTTGAAATCCATGCATAGTTTTTCTAATTTTATTTATGGTAGACAAGTTTCATGTATTCTGTATATACAGATTTAGGAACATACTGATACTCCCCGCCCTCCCCTCCCTCCCACTCACACTCCCACCCTTCCTCCTCCTTCCTCTCCTATTCCCTCTCTTAATTTTCACAATGATCTACTTTCAGTTTACTTTATACTCATACAATCAACACTACACTAAGTAAAGAGTGCAACAAACAGTAAGAAGAAAAAAAACATTTACCATATATTACAAAGAATTTTGCACCAAAAAACCCTCAAACCTTTAATTCCATTTTCCACAGACTTTTTTGTTATACTTTCATAGATGATCAGAAAAACTTTACAAAGTTTGCCTAATTCACTTTTTTTAAAATGCACAAACATGGTGTTCTATTGAGCATGGCTTCCCATCAGATTTTTTAAAAAGATTTTATTTAAGAGGTAGAGTTACAGACAGTGAGAGGGAGAGACAGACAGAAAGGTCTTCCTTCCCCTGGTTCACTCCTCAGATGGCCCCAATGGCTGGAGCTGCTCTGATCTGAAGCCAGGAGCCAGGAGCTTCCTCTGGTCTCCCATGCAGGTGCAAGGGCCCAAGGACTTGGGCCATCCTCTACTGCTTTTCCAGGCCACAGCAGAGAGCTGCATTGGAAGTGGAGCAGCTGGGACTAGAACTGGCACCCTTATGGGGTGCCAGTGCCACAGGCGGAGGATTAACCCACTGTGCCACGGTGCCGGCCCCAGATTTTATTTATTTATTTTGAAAGTCAGAGTTACACACACACACACACGGGTTGGGGTGGGGGGAGAGAATCTTCATCTACTGGTTCACCCCCCAGATGGCCGAAACGATTAGGGCAGGGCCAGGCTGAAGCCAGGAGCCTGGACCTGCTTCTGGGTCTCCCATTTGGGTGCAGGGGCCCAAGCAGTTGGGCCATCTTTCTACTGCTTTCCAAGGTGCATTAACGGGGAACTGGATGGGAAGTGAAGCAGCCGGGTGGAGCAGCCGGGACTTGAGCCAGTATGCGTATGGGATGCCAGCACCAGAGGCAGCAGCTTTCACCCACTGTGCCATGAAGTCGTCCTCCCAATTTGCTTTCTCAAGGGCTTGGAGGGGTAAGGATAAGTGAATTATTCAGCAAAACGAGTGCTACAACACCCAGGCTCTGCTGTAGGCACTGAGGATATGGCAATGAGTAAAAAAGGACTCAAGGGGGCCGGCGCCGTGGCTCACTTGGTTAATCCTCCGCCTGCGGCGCCAGCATCCCATATGGGCACCAGGTTCTAGTCCCGGTTGCTCCTCTTCCAGTCCAGCTCTCTGCTGCGGCCATTTGGGGAGTGAACCAATAGAAGGAAGACCTTTCTCTCTGTTTCTCTCTCTCACTGTCTAACTCTACCTGTCAAATAAAGAAAAAAGGACTCAAAAGAAATTGAGGTCACACAGGTAGTAAACATAAACAAAGTCAGATTGTTGCAAAGGCTTTGGAGAACTTTCACAACGTGATAGGATAAAAACTGAAGAAAGGGCTAGCGTGGTTAGGGAAGGGCTCCAAGCCCTTGTCATTTGACCTGAATTTTCAATGTGATAAAGGAGCCAGATCTGGAATGATGTAGAGAAAACAATCCACAGAATAAAAGCATCTCATTTAATTTTCATCACAACCCTATGAGAAAGGTACTCTCATTATACCCATTTTCCAAATTAGAAAACGGAGGCACAGTGATTTAGGAAGTTTGCCCAAGGCCACCCACCTATTAAGAAGCCGATTATTTTGTTATTTTACAAATTTATTTGATGAAGCCGGCGTTGTGGCATAGTGGATAAAGCTGCCACCTGAGATGCCAGCATGTCATATGGGCATCAATTCAAGTCCCAGATGCTCCACTTTTGATCCTGCTTCCTGTTAATAGCCTGGGTAAGGCAGCAGATGTCTTTGGGCCCCTGCCATCCATGTGGGAAACCCGGAAGAAGCTCCTGGCTTTGGCCAGGCTCATCCCTAGCCATCGCAACCATCTGGGGAGTGAACCGGCAGATGGAAGATCGATCTCTCTCTCTTTCTCTCTCTCTCTCTCTTTCTCTCCTTATCTCTGTCATCTGACTTTCAAATAAATAAATCTTCCAAAAATATTTTTTAAAAAAGTTTGTTTGATAGGCACAGAGACAGCCAACCAGCAAGACAGAGAGAGAGAGAGAGAGAGGGAGGGAGGGAGCGAGGGAGGGAGGGAGGGAGGGAGGAAGAGGGAGAGAGGGAGAGGGAGAGGGAGAGGGAGAGGGGGAGAGGGAGAGAGAGAAAATGAGCCCCCAGTTGCTAGTTTACTCTCCCACATACCCACAACAGCTGGGGCGAGGCCAGGCCAATGCCAGGAGCCTGGAACTAGATTTGAGTCTCCCATGGATGTAGCAGGGACCCAAGTACTTGAGCCATCACCTGCTGCCTCCCAGGGGACACATTAGCAGGCGGCAGGAATTAGAAGCACAGCCGAGACTTGAAACCAGGAGCTCTGATGCAGATGTCTTAATTGCTAGGCCAAATGCCTGCACCCAAGTTGACTATTTTAAGCCATCATGTTGTATGTGATTAGCATAAAAAATCATTTGTCAATACTAATAAGTTGATTTTTTTTTTAAAAAGAACCAGACACGGTTTGGGCACACTATTTGCACCTGTAAATACAGGCAATGTTCTTCAGTAGCTGAGTAGGTATTAGGCATTCAGTCGTGGCATTTGGAGAAATACAGCTGTTCACTTAAAAATCCTCTGCTCCTTCTTGAGGGAAATCAGGAAGTAACCCTGGAAAGCAATGTAATCAGGCAACAAATGTTCAATGAGCCTGTGCTTTGTGCCAGGTGCTACATTAGATACTAAGGATGCAATGGTAAAGAACACTAACCCGGCCCCACCAGGGTAAGGGGCCAAGCAAGGAAGCCTAGGGAACTGGCAGCAATAGAAGCTAGTCCACCCCAGCAAATGGGTCCGTGTAGAAACACAAGGACCTTGGCTAAGACTGGCCAAGAGAGTG